TCTCCTCTTCCTCCTCTTCTCAGCTCTGCCTGACGTCTCATCATCTTGTGTCATTGTTTTTGATCTCTCCTCCTCGTCACGTTGTGTTCTTCCTTTCAGTGTGTTCTGTTTTTTCATTCATCCCTCCATTTCATGTCTCCCTCCTCCTCCTCCTCCTCCTCCCCCAGTCAGCCTCAGAAGGTGGAGAGGGCGGAGGAACCCGACGTCTTCTCTCCACCCATCAGGTTGAGTCATGTGATTGCATGGTTGCACTGTGGGCGTCTCTGCTGACTGACAGTTTAACAACAAGTGAATCCAAAGTGAACCGACAGTGACAGTTACAGGTTCTAATGAAAAGCTCTGTTTGTTGTGAATGAAGCTGATCATGTGCGGGAGCCTCAGGTTTGTTCAGCACAGTCGACCCGATCGTTCCTGAACCATCAGAACAGAACAGGGTCTGGTTTCTCTGAGTCGCAGACTAACTGCTGTGAGGTGATGAAAACTAACGACAGCATGAAGACTGGTTCTACCAACATCGGGTGCAACATGTCAGATTTGTGACGTGTGTTTCCATGGTTACTGGGAATTCATCCTGATGTAAACCTACGTGTCTCTGTCTCCCTTTAGTTCCGGGGGTCAGACGCCTCGGAGAGACCTGGAGAAGCAGCTCACTGGAGAGGAGAAGTAAGTTTATCGTTAAAGGAGACACACTCTGTTCAGCTTGAGGATTTCATTTGTGTTATGACTGTAAAATGTTTTCATGCTCTGATGTCGAGAAAAGACGTCTCTCTGTCCTGACTGTCCATTGCTGCTGCTCCTCTTTTCAGCCTCTGTCTCAAACACTTGGTTCTAGCTCCTGTCTCTTTAAGACCCCCCCCTCCAGATAAAGCCCAGTCTTTGGTCGAAGCTTCTGGAACGAGTCCGTCCCTTTAAATCTCACAGGAAGTCACGGTTATATTATTATTATAACAACTGGATTTTCCTCCCCCCCATAGAGCTCTGCGACCCGGTGACCCCGGGTTCTGCGCCCGGGCGAGAGTCCCAATGCCGTCCAACAAGGACTATGTAGTTCGACCCAAGTGGAACGTAGAGGGCGACTCCAGCAGGGTGAGTACATGGGGGGAGGGGGGGTGTTGTCATCGAAGATTTGAAGTGAATGTGTTTAAAAATGTTTTTTAAAATTGTTCAAACTAATTGAAAATTGAATAATAAT